ATACACATGTATACACATGCACATATGCATCTGCAATATACGCGAATGCTTAGCGCTATGAATACGGTCATACGCCATGGTTATGTATAGACATGAGTGCCTAGAGGAAGCCTGCAGCACGGTGTTGCATCTGACGGCCTCGACACAGCTTGGGAGGTGTCATTAAGGGTTCTGCAGAAGACGCCATACGGGTTCTGAAACTTGTGTGTGGGGGGGGGGGGGGGGGGNNAGGTTAGGGTGCTCGAATAGGATGTAGCCAATTCGGATGGAGCAGGGCTTCTCCAAATAATGCGATGTCAATGGCTGTGAGTGGAGCCTCGAGCTGGTCATAGTTTTTGCAATATGATCGCTTTGTATACTTGCACTGTAGCGCCGGCTCCAAACTCCTAGGTCGGGCTATCCACGAGATGTTCGTTTGATGGCTCTAGCTCCTTCGCCTTTGGTTACATATTATTCTCCAAACTACAGCTATTTCCTTGCAGTTAGGATCGAATAACTTCTCATTTGTGTAGCCTTCCGGATCCATCTTGTTGACCCTAAGCCCTAAACAGATGGGAGAAGGCGCTTTAACAAAAAGCGAAGCCACAAGCCCTACACCCTGAACCCCAAACTGTGCAAAACACGGTTGCTTGAGGCTACCCTTACTGGTTTCTGGGTTGCTGTGGTTCATCGTTGCACAGTGAACAGGGCTACATGTCGATTGGTTTTGGGAGACCGCCAGTAGAGGTTAAAATGTACCCTATACCCTAAACCCTAAACCTGCAATTGGTAATTGGTGAGAATCCCCTCCACTCGGTCTCCCGTAACCGCCCCTCAGCCAAGCTTGGCATTCCAGCTCCAGACATGGGTGGTAGGAAAAAAGGGTACAAAAACAACTCTGCAATATGGGAGTCTCCGAAAATAAGGGATACCTTCTTTTGGGGGTCCCAATAATAGGGATCCTACTATTTAGGGTACTATACTAGGGTCCCCTATTTTCGGAAACCCGCCATATGTTGCGGGCAAGGTTCATGGCCTCGTCGTCTCCTCGGCTGAAATGCTCACATCGATGTTCAAACCAGGGTTCTCTTGAGGTTCCGGTTGCTTTAGGGTTTAGGGTTTAGGGGTTCTCTTGAGGTTCCGGTTGCTGTAGCTCATTTCCCATCAAGAATCAGTGCGGGACCAGAAACTGGGACGACATGTCGTCGGTTTCGGCGCAGAACTGCTCTCACCGGACGGACTGTTTGTGCATCCGGCGACACGGCAAAATCTTTTCTCTGAGTGCCCGTGGGAGAAGAAGGTTTCAGCCCCACAGAGCGCTGTTTGCATACTGACTATCACAACTTGTACCTTGTACCGCGACTATACTGATTGTCATTATTACTTTCATCTGATCTATGGCAAAGGTTATGCTTGCTTTCATATTTGTGGCCAGCAGTAGTCTCTGTTGCACCATCGCAAGGATTGTGATTGCAAAGCCAACTATTATTGTCGTCGTGACATGTATTGCCATCCTTACTCAGGCCAGCAGCTACGATCGCTACAAGCATCTTTGCTATGTCTACGGCGCCGCCCTCCTGAGGCAACTCGTTACCTTGCTTGAGCGCTTTCATGGGTTCAGGATTTTCGGCCTGAGCACGGCTGACCTGTACCGTTTGTAGCACGGTTCGGCGAAGTAGGCGTGTGGTTGTTGCAGATCATGTTCCTCTTGAGGGCACTCCACTTTAACAGTAACAGTCAGCTTCAATCTCCGCACGGCCACGTTGATGAGCGGCATAGTGATCACATGACTTGACGGATTATGAAGAAGATGGTGATGATGATGATTATGATGATGATGCTGGTGTTACTCCTGTCCCTCCTCATGATGATGGTCACCGTATTGCGATATTTCGAGTTGTTGTCAGCAGCACTAAGCCCTAAACTGCAAACATCTGTAAACACCACTGTATGTCAATAGTGTGTGTGTGTGCGCGCGTTTGTGTTTGAGTTCGTGGTCTTCATGTCTGGTTGTGAGAAGCTCGCGAGAGGACACCACACCTCGGCCAGCCCCTCGAGGACGCACTGCTGTAGGGTCTCGGGTTTAGTTCCGCCCTGAGGGTCCAATGTAGGGGCCTTAAGAATGAGAATGCCCGGCGCGCAGCCCGCGCGCCCTCCCAACCACTGCCACCGGGGCGAGGACGACCACCACCAGGTGACCACCGTGAAGAGACCACCAGGAAACCACAGAGACGAGCAGGAGAAATCACCACCAGTCCTCCACGGCTAAAATGCTTGGGCAGATTCAGAGACGCGACCACAGTCTTTTGCTTCTTCACAAACTTGGCGGAATTCAGAGACACGCCAAAACCGCTTCCCTGCGTCTACTGGCGGGATACAGACATCTAAGGCCACAATGAGACCAATATTGAATTGTTTCGCATATGCAACATTGGCGCAAAATTGCATTGCACCAGGGGGGGAGCCTGGCGTCACACCCCTCGCGATCGTACTAAGCCTCGCGATCGTCCTAACATATCCTCGTTCCTCCTATAACAGAACACTGGCATAAGGGCTGCATACGTGGTGCAGCATAGCCAGTTGAGTGCTTTCTAAGGTAGTGTACACATGATCGCGTATGCTAGCCTGGAAACACAATTTCAACACAATCAATCCAGTCAGTATTGACGACGTCGCATAAGATCATGAAATTGTGAGAGATGGACGAATTGCCAGGACCGCAACATTCGATAGCGATGCTGGAGAAACATGTCAGTACAGGGAGCATTTGGAAACTGCGACAAGTGCAGCATGACAAGACGTATGAACAGCAAGAAGCATAGGCAAAGACATGTCACAAGAAAACACCCCGTGCAAGAACATGGTCAGGTTTCGTTCTGATTGTGCATCATCCATCTGGAGAGACGAAACTAGTCAGTTTGCTGAAGCATAGTCCTGTTTGAAACCTTGAGTGAAGTGGGAAGCCTATGTGATGGCTAAATGTCACTAAACCCAGCCGCATTCGAGTATTTGGCCTGTGGCCTGCAGAACCAAGTGCCGAATAAGCAAACCATCACTGAAGTTAAAGTAGGCCTCTGATATTCAGTTTGCCCGCCAGTAAAAGGTTGCAAAGTCAACACCACCACCACCACCGGCAGCAGCAACAACAACAACAATCACATGGCCATAGAGTGCTACTGTAACGCAAAGCAGTCATATTCCTGAATCCTTATTCATGAGTATATATTAGTGTATATGTTCGCACCCAAGTCCCAGCAATACAATGGGACAGAACCGATGTTCGTCCCAAACTGTAAACTGACTACTTTCCTCGAAGAAGATTGCGATAAGTTGTCCGAGGCATTGCTGTAAATGTAGTCAAAGGTGAGACGAGCAGTAGCAATACTCGTTTCATTGGTGGTTAAGAGGTCTGGAAATGAGACGGCAACCGCATTGACAGTTCAGCTTTTGGAAGCGATTGCGGTACAACACTTAGCAGCTCGGTCTAGAATAGTTTGTACTTGCTCCAACAGAACCGCTTGCTTGCAAGCTTGCACAGTCATTCATACAGCGCAAACGTTACAATTGGAACTGCAGATCCCCGGCGAAATCCACCTGCGCTCATTTTAGCTTAGCTTCTGAGCATATCATCTGACATGCAGCAGGTACCATCCTTGTTATTCTCGTTGATTCGTGGGGTCGTTGTGTGTTTCACTGACAGCTGACATACGCAAGTACCTGCTGCTATCTGATTGTCAGCACACGCACATGCTACGTCTCTTAGGTCTTAGTTAGGCTTGTGCCCATTGCTAACACACACAGAGAGAAAACACGGGAAATTTCCGCTCTGCACGAATGCAGGATGGTGCGAAGCCGAAGCGAGGTGGGGCTTGTTGAAACATGCACTCAACGTCCTCATCGTCAACTGTCTTCCGCTTTTAATCTGTGTCGCCTTTGTGAAGAGTTTGTTGCGTCGTTCATGCGCAGTGCGTTGAAAGCATCGAGAGGCATCAGAATTTGTCGAGCGCTCTGCACGCATCTGAAGTTGTGGGGCCTCTTTTGCAGCGGCAGTCCCAACATCCTCCCTTCAAGCTGGGGTGAAATTCTCGAAATCCTGTCAGACCTGGTGGCCCCAGGTCCGAGAGGCTCAAGCTCCAAGGCCCCAGGAAGCCTTCGAAATTATATTGGGACAAGTCATACTACTTCTGACTACTGCTAATTGCCACTATGATCTTGAGTAGTCGGAGTCGTATGTATCTAAGGACCTTGGCTCTAGACCCAGAGGGTTTCCGCCCTTCTCGAGCTTGCTATCCCGAAACTATAACCCTAGACTCGAACCCCCCCCGAAAACCCTACACCCAAAATCCTGAACTCTGAAACCCTAAACAAGGCAGAAAAGAGGTCCCCCGCCAAAAAAAGAAACCCCACCCTAAACCCTAAACCCTAAACCCTAAACAATGCCAGCCTTGTTGCCTGGGCCTTTCAGGCTTGGACGCGCTGATCCAGGTCCTGGCAAGCCGCTACGGCTGGCCCGAGGTGAGTTTGGTTCTTTAGGGTGTAGGGTTTAGGGTCTTCAGCAGCAAGGGAGGGGTTATAGATAGGGCTTTCTAGAAGGATTTTACAGGGTTTGTTCGGTGTCTGTGGGTGTTCTTACAACTATAGGGTTCGGTTCTCTGCCGTCTTTACTGTAAGGGCTTTCTTGCTTCGAATACCAACGCTTTGTCTAAGTTGTTCACGAGCTTCGGCTTCTTTCAATTGCAATCGAAAGGAGGCTGAAGCACCCATGGCCCGATACAAAACCCTGAAGCTTCACTGACTGCATCACGGATGCTCCTTTAGATGGCGCTGCTCTTCCGGTGTCTGAGGATTGCTCGGTCAATAAGGATGTCTTGCTTTTTCATTGTGCACCGTGCCGTGGAAGCTTCTTGCGTAAGTTGGGTTTCTTGGAATTAAGAACCTGGCTTGCAGAGAAAGATGAGCACGGTTTTAGCGTAGCATCGATTGTAGGTAAGGTTTCAAGTCGAGTCAAAGGCCCTTCGAGAATCTGTGTCTTCAGCAATCCAAGTAAGTAAACACGTAGAAACACCGTAAGAGCTCCTGTTGTGACTTTCTTAGAGCCCCGGGCAGGTGGCTTTTCTGCGCATTGACCGCCGCGGCGCAGGCCGCTTGGGGGCGACGGAGCTTCGCATGGGGCTCTTGCTCGGTCTGGGCCTCGGATACGGCGGGATTTTCTCTTTCATGAGGAGTCCTTCTGACATGGATGCCCAGGTGTAGGGCTCAGGCTCTTGGTGGGTTTAGGATTCGCTGGGTTGAGGTCTTTGTCGTTTAGGGAGTGTCCTCGTATGTTTCGTTCGTAAGCTGGTATGTGGAAGAAGGACGATTATGATCATGATATTGGCATGGCTGCGCAATGGAGCGAAACTCCAAAGCCACAAGCTTGCAAGCCAAGCTTGTTGCCGAGCGTCTCCCTCAGACATCCGTGCATCTGAACACGAGGAAACCTCAATCGTGAAAACAAAGCAGTGATCAAGAAGGGCTTAGTCTAAGTGCCCGGGAGTTCGTGGGGTTCCGATTCCATCACAGGTGCGCGGATCGATTTTCCGGCCGTGACGGGCCTCACTGCAGAGGCCCTGCTGTCCGCCATGGACTCCCGGGGTGCAGGCGGGTCGTGCTCAGGGCTGCATGGTTTCAGGAATCGCTGGGACGTCGGAGTTCAGGCCCAAAATACTATGGCAGGTCTATGACATTGTATGATTCTATTTCAAATTCTATGACTGATGATCTACGGACATCTCGGGTCGATCAGGAACGCATCGCTCGTCGTCAGCATCGTCGAAGTGGAATTGGTGGTTCCTGGTAGTGGCCACCAGTATCGGTGGTAAGGGAATTGGAGTAACGGAAGGAGTGGTCAGAAGCCGTGGTCGTTGCGATCGTCCTCTTCGTCTTCCTCGTTCGTCGTCTTCATCGTAGTCGCAGGTCGTAGGTTGCAGGTGTAGGCGCGGTCGTAGCAGTAGCACAGCACTGGCACTAGCACCAGCACGAGCGCTAGTAGTAGTAGTAGTAGTAGTAGTAGTAGTAGTAGTAGCAGTAGCAGTAGTGGTAGCAGTAGCAGTAGCAGTAGTAGTAGTAGTAGTAGTAGTAGTAGTAGT